ATGCACTTTACTTACGACTTGACTCTATTAGCTGTCTCTATATCTCCCTATCTGCAATTATATCTTCGCTTTATTTGCCAAGCTTATATACTAAAATAGAGGGCGCCTAGAAAAGACTAGAGTTGCGAGGAACAGTCATGATCCTTCTAGAAACTCCAGCGCGCATGCTTGCAGCATCACATGACTTCCGCTGTCGTAACAATATATTCAATTCTACAAGCTAAGATCAGGAAAAGTATGAAAATTAAAAAATTTAATAAAAATGTTTGATTTCTTAATATATTTTGGAGTAAATTTTATAAAAGTAAAAAATCAGCAGGAAAAAGTATCTTCCATAATTTATTTGTTTGATGCTATAGCATATTAGAAATAATAAACGTAATTTAGATTTTTAATAACAAATGCTCTAACATCTACATGAAAACATTGTGACGACTTTTGTATTCTTACTATTACTTTCTTCCTCAAATCATGTTATTATATATGTATGTGATGTGTAGCTGTCAACTCTTTTTAGAATTTGACAAAGATAATTTTGAACTACAACATGTTACATCACTGATAGGTGTGAGCATATCATATGTCTTCTACCTGCTGTAGTAATAGAGATATTTAAAAAACATTTTAGGCTATGTAGTTTCTGTGCTGTAACGGCAACAACACATTGTTAAGAAAATCATGATTCCCTTATTCTAGTTGCTTCATTTCTTTGTTCTCTATAGTAAGTGACATCTTTTCTACCAAGGATATTACAATAATATACACCCTCCATGTTAAAAGGGATTGGTGCTATAATATCCGTTAATGGACAACTATGACAGTGATTGAATGTGACAGTAAACTTATACTGTGAGGAAACAATAGTCACGAGGTGGCACTGTTGACTGGAAAAACAGTGTGTGCTTACTTCTTGAATTCAGCCATGTTTTCTTTAGTCAGTTCTACTAGGAGCTTATAAAGTAAAGACTTACCTATAATATCATTATGTTTTGTCTATCCTGTGAAAGAGAGAAAGCTGTTGGAGTAAGCACAGCCTAGTAGAAGTACTGTCTCTTTCATGTATGTATATACATACACTGCATTTTCTTTTTCTGTTTTATAATAAATATTGTTTTCATTTTTACAACCTTTATTATTTTTCACACACTTGGAAGACTCAGTTAAGTTTATAGTCAGAATAATTCTCCTTATTTCCTTAATAAGTATGTAGTTAATTGCAAATCTGTCTACTGACACTTGTCAGGAAATCAGCAGTTATTATCTAAAAATACCATAAATAGACATGATGAAAATATTTTGGTGCCATGATGTTTGATCTTGAGTTGGAGTTAAAAGGAATGCTTTTTAAGCCATTTTCCAGAAAATAGAAGTACTCACAAATGAGAGTTTACTAGCAGAGAGAGATGGTTATATGGGAGAGATGTCAAGTATAAAAGAAGCCCTCTCCTGGACATAGGGTTTTTGCTGATGCTGCAAAGGTCCATGAAATTGGTAAACCTGCAATTGCTAATTCAGGGAGACCAGCTATCAACTAGTACAACAAGGTCACTTCAGCATACAGTACCCCTGAAGATCTATTTTGGCAGAAGGAAAGAGTGAATGACTGAGATTCACCAGAATGGCTTGGTGCCAGGTAAGTTCATGATCACAGGGAGAAGTCTCTAACTGAACCCCCACTACTGCCAGTCAGAGCACATTAGCTCCAGCTCTGGCCAAATACCACCAGCAAATAGTGGACAGAGGCTGATTGTGCTGCTAGTGGATAATTTTCACCAGTCAGAGTTATTTCTCCAGCAGGTGAGGCAACAGGCTCCCATGGTGAAAACTGTGGTTAATGGGGTGAGGTACTTTTCAGAGTAGAAAGATTCCCAATCACAACAACAGCAGCTTGTGACCCTTGAAGACATGTAGGGATGTAGGAAAAGGTACTTTAAGTAACTCGTCATCCTGTAGCCCTGGACCAGGGTTCTGTGAGTGAAGCCAAGCAGATCATACTCCTGATGTTCAAAGGGACAACAAGAGAGTATCTGGATTGATTCCTAAAACATTTCATGCAGGGCACTGTCTAGAATATTAGAACTCAGAAGCAAGTTGTTGAATACCTGGATAAGGAGCAGCAAGACAACTGGGAAATGACCGTGTATGAGCTGCATCACTGATCCAACCCAGGGGAGGATTGGGGTGTTCACTGGGCCAAATTCAAGGCTTGAAAAGGAATCATCACCAAGAGACAGGCAGCCTATGCAGATGTTCTGCACATATTACACAGAAAGATA